CTCTTTGTAGTGATTTTTCTGCCATTAACTATTTTAGTTGAAGTTGATATCGATTTGAAGTTGCCCATCCCACTACCGCCAAATGACGCAGAAGAAAATGAAGTGAGGCCTCCGTGACCCAGTGGCCCAAATGAAGTAAATCCTACAGGAAAACAGAAAAGAAAAATGCTTAGAGAAATACGTCAATTACTACTGCAAAGATTAAGAGTTTGAAAATTCAGTAGTAGATTATCTAATGTTAAGACATGGAACGGATTCGTAATACACCACGCAACTAGCAAGGCCTCCGGTGAAGTGCCGTGGTCCCAGGGGAAAAGACCCTCTCAAATCCCTCAGAGGGGGTTCTAGGGGAGCATGAGAGCGCAGCCTCCCCGCTGCTTCACACAGAGCTTCGGTGCAGCCCCTCTCCGTCTCCTCACACAGAGCTTCAGTGGACCTGAGCAGCTCTGCCAACATGCCACAGCCCATGTGTTATCTGCGTTAATGTGAACCTTTGAAACCAGGACTGGTAGGTATTAAGCTCCAACCAGCAGACCAGCCTCAATACAAAGCTATGTTTGCTTCAGCGTGGCCTGTCAACTCTATGGGCTGTGATGGATATCCTTATCCTACACAAACAGAGTAACCTCACCACCACAGAACAGCAAACCTAACTGGCTTCCCTTTGCTTTGCCACAGGACCACAGGGAATAAGAATCTAAATTATTAAAAAATCTAATTTGAGAGAGAATATTACAAGTATTCATCTGAAAAAACTATGGTTCTACAGTTCACAGACGCCATTCTCAATTATACATTATGGACACAATCACAGTGTGGACACTAAAAAATTTCACAAGTCATACTAAAGCAAAACTTTTTTGATATTAAAGCTGGTCTACTGATTAGAGTTTAATACTCATGCTGCTTCCAAAACGCTCACATTAACACAAACGACGCATACCTCTGAACATGATTCAGTCATCTACGCCCTGATACTGTCTAGGACTGGTGGTGTCCTCAAGAAATATGTGAGCCACGTATGTTAAGTTTACCTTTTCTAATGATTTCACTAAAAAGCAGAAACTAGTGAAATTTTAGTATTAAATATAGTATATCCAAAATATTTCAGTTGGAAATATAAAAAATCAAAATCATTCGTGGTATTTTACACTGCTTTCACTCACGCTGGTCTCCATGTGGAGTCTCCAGGCCTCCAGGGCTCAGGAGCTGTGCGTGGCTGGTGGCTACTGCGCTGGTCTAGATGAAGCCTAAGTATCAATTCTTGTGATACTCCGTAAGGCACCTCAGAAGTGGGGACGGCTTGCTGCACAACAACCCCACACACAGGAGCCACTGATTACTTTTAAAAAGGACTATTTATGTGGTATTTTTAACTAGTTTTCTTAACCTGTGGTCAGCATATTCCATTGTATCAATGAGAGGCTCTGTTGAGGGACAGCACATCCGAACTGAGGTCCAATCAAGAAGACTTCACTATTTGCCTAGCTGCATGAGCACAGTGTTGAAAGAAAACAAAACTCTGACCTTATGAGAAGGGAACACTATATAAGAAGCTCTCCCAATTCTTACCGTGAAGGTTTAAACATAAAAATGAGAGAATCAAAACAACAACTCCAGGCCACATGTGGTGGCTCATGCCTGTAATCCCAGCACTTTGGGAGGCCGAGGCAAGCGGATCCACTTGAGGTTAGTTCAAGACCAACCTGGCCAAAATGACAAAACCTGTCTCTATTAAAAATACAAAACTTAACTAGGCCTGGTGGTGCACACCTGTAATTCCAGCTACTCAGGAGGCTGAGTCACAATAATCACTTGAACCCAGGAGGCAGGAAGTTGTGATAAACCAAGATCGTGCCACTACACTAACAGTGTCAGCCACTAAAAGTGAGACTCTGTCTTAAAAAAAAAAAAAAAAAAAACTCCTCTGTGAAGAGACACTGGATGAGTTTGAGAGAAAAGTGGGATTCTAATTCTTCAGGCTAAACACACAGGTGTATCATGACATACGCATTTTCATATGACTCCAGTCTATAAGCAGTGTTTCCATCAGTGGGACCCTCCTGGGATGCTACCCATTTGTGTACTTTCATTTTAACTGCAAAGGAGGTTAGACAGCATGCATGAAGGTTAGTGAGGTTTTCCAGGTGCATTACTTTCCATCTACTGACCCAGAATACAGATTCCCCCTTTTAAATGAAGAATTTCATTCAATTCTCATCCTGCATATCGTATTAAAAGATTTCCAAGTACAACAATCTTAAGAAGATTAGGAGAAAACGGAGGTTATTAAGCGCAGATCTGTATCCCAAAAAAAGCTGGCAAATTCTACAATGCTATGCTACAAAAGGAATACACGGGCCGGGCACAGTGGCTCACGCCTGTAATCCCAGCACTTTGGGAGGCCAAGGCGGGTGGATCACGAGGTTAAGAGATCGAGACCATCCTGGTCAACATGGTGAAACCCCGTCTCTACTAAAAATACAAAAAATCAGCTGGGCATGGTGGCACATGCCTGTAGTCCCAGCTGCTCAGC